ACAAGTGTAGCTATCTATGTGTAAAAACAATCAAACAAGTCGACTCACAGTGGGCATGGCATGTACGTACATGCCATCCCCGGCGGCAGTGGGTTAATATGGACTGGCAATGCACAAATATTCAGACTGTGAAGCAGAGCACTTATCAAATGCATATCTTATTATTGGAATCTATGTTAATATGCAAATGCAAGCGAGTTTCCTAATTTTTTTAGCCATCCTTCTTATACTATGCATTTACTCTACTAGATTTACTGCATAAGATTGTGTCAAAAAAGTAATAAATGCTCAGTACGTTTTAGATATACACAGTGCAGAAAAGAATTTAGTAGTATTAACTTTGTTATTTATTCTGTCACAAAATTTTATTTACTTTCTTTTTTTCTTTCTTCTTTTCTTTTTTCTTTCTTTTTTCTTTCTTTTTCTTTTTTTCTTTTTCTTTTTCTTTTTCTTCCTTTTCTTTTTCTTCCTTTCCTTTTCTTTTCTTTTCTTTTCTTTTCTTTTCTTTTCTTTTGAGAGGTCTGGATTAGCAAAGCAGAAAGGGTATAAGGGTAATTAGATCACAGATTCAGTGAGAATATCAGAAGGGAGGGAATCTAGGGAAGGGGGTTACTGTGAAAATGGGCCACATCCAGGGGGGGAAGTCGGAGGGATAGTGGGTTAGGAGAGGGGGGGGTGATGCAGCTGAAGCAGAGAGGGATGGGATGTGTTGGGAGGGAGTAGGAGGAAGAGGTATAGGAGGAGGATGGACGTCGGAAGTTACTTTGAGTGTAGAAGGAATGAGAGTAGAGAGATTGGAGAATAGTTGAGGTGTAGGGATGTGATTAGATTGTCTTTAATGTCTTCAAGAGTTTTTGCAGTGGAGTTGTTTTGGGAGTTCTGAGAAACAAAGGTTTTCTTATGGGGGTGAGGAGAAGAGGGGACAGATGTTTGAGGGGTGGAGGAAGAGGTTGATAAAAAAGACAGGGTAGAGCACTTAGCTTATCTTGTGCAATGAAATGTGTGATGAGGAAGAGGGCTAGGTGCCAGGGAAGTAGTGATTGGAGTGCCAAGAAGAGTGGAGAAGATTGGGGTGTCTGAATTTAGAATGGCAAAATGAATTTGACTGGGAAGTGGAGGGGATAGAAGTAGGATGAAGAAGAGATGTAGAAAGATTCTGGGAGGAAAGGGGAGTGGTAGAGTGACTACTGGAGTAGGGATTGAGAGAGAAACCTAGTTGACGTGCTTCCTATCTGACTTCACATAGAGTGAGGCCAAGTCTGAATCTGAGAGTTGCCACTTCAGACTCAAACTTGTAGGTGGGGCAGCCCTTTTAAAATATATTATGGGAGCTGCCACAATTGGCACATGCACATGATTGTACAGAGCAGTTTGATCGATTATGACCAGCTTGGGCACATAGAGGGCATCTGGCAGTGGAATGGCAGTGTTTGGCAAAATGTCCTAGATGCCAACAAGGTGGGGAGGTTGATATGGTTAGACGAAGGTATTCTCCATCAATGTAAACATTAAAGAGGTGGTCATGTGTATGGAAATATTCTTATATTGCTGGGGGACCTACATTCACCTCTAGGGAGAATGGTGTAGTATTGTACTGATAATGCATCATAGTCCATGAGGCAGGCAAGTAAGTCTTCTGTTGGGGAGATGGAGATAATTCCACTACAAGTATTGAGGGTAGGATGAGTTTGGGCTGGAATAGGTTTGCCAATAAAGTCTGTCAGTGTTAACAATGCTTTAGCTTGAGTTTCAGACGTAACTGTAACAAGATAGGAATGATCAGGGCAACTGCGGAAGGAAACTTTGCCTACTTGTTTTAGGAGACATTGCTGGAAGATGAATGTGTTGTCAGAGTAAGGAGCTGTGGGGGGGAGGATCACAAAAATCGGTCCATTTGACTTGGCTAAATAGAGTATTTAAGATGATTGTAGAAGTAGGAGTAGTAGAAGGACAAGGGTATGTGGAAAAGGGAGTCGTGTTGAGAGAGGTAGTATTGCAGAGAGGTGGACAGTAAGGTTGTAGTGTAGTAACAAGGGAGGATGGGGTAGTTAGTGAAGTAGAGGATGTTGGGAGAGGTGGTTAAGTATTGACCTGTGAAGTAGAGGATGTTGGGAGAGGTGGTTAAGTATTGACCTGGGTGGATGAAGTGAAAGCAGGCATGGAGGGGATAGAAGGAGCAGTGTTCAGAGTCATGGTCAAAGGAGAGCCTGCAGCTAGGGAACCAGAATAATTTGAATCAGTGGGGCTATCTGATGAAGTGGTAAGCCCTATTTCCCCTAATAATGCTATCATCTTCATTCTTGGCTATGGTAACCTAGAGTATATTGGGGAGAAAAACAGTCCATTCAGCAGGGTCCCTTTGAGGGGTAAAGGCTAAACACCTATCTAGCAGCATACCACGCTCATGGCTCCGCCGTTCATGAGTGGTACAAAGTCAGCCTTTTATTCTTTCAACAAGGCTCTCACACCTTAGGAAATGGATAACAGAAGGGGTTGGAGAAGAGATGGGATTGGTGGGACATATATATACAGGTAAATAATAAATATCCATAATATATTAATACACAAACACCTTACAGGGGATGAAAAACAGTCACAAAAATCTTGTGAAACACTTTCATTCTTGCATTATTCAATAAAGCCGCTGAAAGCATACAATGACTCATTATACAACCAATCCAACCTTTCTTATCCAATATAAACTGGATACTGTTAATAGTTATATTAAAAGAAGCCTTTGAAAAATAATATAATTTTATATGTATTGTCTATACATGAGAAAAATTTATATTTTACCAAAGCAATTTTTTGGTTCTGTGGAAAAGGGGGAAAAAAAGCATTGATAAAATAATTTAAAAAATCATGAATAATCAATATTCATTACTATACATTCTGTATTACGGCTTGTCAAATATAATATTCCATACAATTTTCACTCGCTGTGACTAGGTAACAGCCTCACAGAGTATACCCTTCAATGACCAACATGTAACTTCTCTGTACACGATCAGATAATATATATCTTTTCCAGAACTTTGAAGTACAGTTGCTTTCTTGCCACTGGTGTAAACAACACTGTCTCCTTATTAGTTAATTCAATTAGCACCACTGATGCTACCTTACACCTAGAGAAAAGATGAAGAAAATATATATGTTCTATAGAAGACACTGCTGGATATTTGTAGAGGACTAGTTCTTTGAATACTGTATAAAGAAACATGAGCAAGTAAAAACTAAAAACTAAAAAAAAAAAAAAGGTAAAGAGCAATAACTTGATTTCATTTCCTTAGAAACTATCACAAAACAAATCTTGACAATCATAACCCTTTACATTCACTTTCTAAGAAAGGTTGTGCTCATTCACAGAAATCAAATGTTGTATAACATTCTGCACTATCCAAGCATCAAAAGTGCCCTTTAGAAAGGACACTAACATCTCACTACTGAAAAAGATCAAGTTTTTTGTATAAACATGATTAGGCACCCTGAATTCCCTCAGACTTTCTCCAACATAATACCACTTTTTAAAATTATAAAATGATATACAACTGTTTTATCATGCAATAACTCCAAAATAACTCTCATGATTCCTTCAGTTATTAATAAGCACTCATTAACCAAAATATATTCACAAACTTATAAACCAACAAAGTGTTTTTTCAAGTGAATATAAATCATAATATATCATAATAACACTTAGTATTCAACTCAACACTGAGTTGAGGGATTTGGTTAAAAAAAAGAAAAAGTAATAAAAATACTTTAAAAAGTCAGACTCCTTAACCTCTTACAGCCGGACACGCCTACAGCTGTCATGAAAAAACAACTGCTATAGACATCATGACACGCTAGAGTGAGTCAAACGGGAAGTTCCACTGTACATAGTGGACTCCAAGTGGCTGGACAGTTGCCAGAAGTCACTGGAATGAGTGACACCCACAGATTTCTGGTACCATCATTGTAGGGTTAAGTAAAAAATAAAAAATAAATAAATAAACAAAAAAGGGGGGAGAATATAATCAATAGAAAAAAAAAAAAAAATGCATATACACTAGTCTTCTTTGTACACATATAACTCCTTCTCCTTAGCAGCTCTTCTCTTCATGATGTTTGCGATGATTGAGGGGGTGAAGGTCCGCAGCATGATGGCGAGCCGGTGTGAGAAGGGGGCCAGAAGAAGCTCTTCGTAACCACTGATGATGCACCCAACAATCTGCTCTGCCACATACTCTGGGCTCATGCCGGATGCTGTGGTGGCATCCATGGCTGCGAAGGGAAAAGGAAATCAGATGACATAAGTTTCTATTAAAGCAGTAACTATATAAGAGATTTAAATACACATTACTCAGTTTAAACATAATAAAATGGTATTTACATTAAGAATTGCAAAAACTTAAGCTTACATGTCCCACTAGTCAAAAAACATGTACAAATTTCAATTTTCACTAAGCCTAACTTTATAGGCTAGATAATTTATATGCCATTGCCAAATCTCAAAAACAAGTATAGCAGACCATAAAATTGAAAAAGTTATCACAATTACAAGTATGATGAAAATGGGGGAGAGATTACTATGGTTATGTATATAAAACAATGAATCATTTATTTCCATTATATAAAATAATAAAATATGTGTTCAAATATATAAATATTAAAAACTCTGTGATACATAACATTATGCTGGGTGTGTGGAAGGGATAAAAAAGCTTTGGTTGGCTAGATGAAATATGCCATATAGTTCCAGAATTACAACCTTGTCCACCCTAAGTTTCATTCACAAGATAAAAGAGGCAGGAAAATGCAATCTTTTTATGAAGTTGAAGATGAAGCACATAGGAAATTACATATTACTTATTCCAGGACATAATAAGTTTTCATCCAGATGCGAACAAAGGTTTCATTGTTTCCATTGTGTTTTCTTATCCAAAGAGGTTGGTTATAGTTGCCTCACTCACCTCCATAGGAAGAGCCATCCCCAGTCACTGCATTTACAGATAGGTTAGTGGATATATATCCTGGGCTGATAACTGACACTCGGACATTTTTGTCAGCCACCTCAGCCCGGAGAGAGTCAAAGAAGCCTTGTACTGCATGTTTGGAGGCTGTGTAACATGACCTGTGAAGAAAGGAAGATTATATTTTGTTTGTCTGATTCTTTTTTTTTCATCAAAAGAGTTGATGTATAACACAAATGAAAATTATACTTCTATGAGGAGGTACAATTTTTTTCTAATAACTACTGGTGTTGGTCATGGACAAACTGATCATTTTCCCAGGTGACCTGAGCTGCCATTGTACAGAGCACATATATTTGCTACCAGGCATGCATACTACCTAAGCACATTTTAGCCCTGATTACTCTCTATCTGTTATACATATGAGCCAATGAAAATATAATTTAGTGAAATTGTTAATACACATTTACACTTTTTAACCCATTGCCGCTGGGGAAAATGAACAAAAAATGGGGGAAATGCAGTACTCATTTTTTGTATTTTTGTGAAATATCTCTGTCCATAGATGGCTCTGCTAGTCCTGATTTCACCTTCCCTTGAATTGGCCGGAAAAAACATATTTTTACTAGTGCTTTATATATAGATGGTGTTATTTTTAACAGCAAATTAGGATAACGTTAAATACTTTCGTAAATCGATGAAAAGGGTGAACGGGCGAGACAGGCAGTACTCATAATTGGCTCATTGGATACTTAGTACAAGTGTAGCCATCTATATTTAAAAACAATCGAACAAGTCGACTCACAGTGGGCATGGCATGTGCATACGTGCCTTCCCCGGCGGCAATGGGTTAAATCTCTGGCTCACTATTATAATAAATATAGCTGATATACATAATAGAAATAACGCACTGACACACACTCTTCCACCTAGCACCTAGCAGTACAAAGTTACAAGTGTCCTAGACTGAATGACAAAACAGTCAAACTTATCCAGAAAGAATGAGTTAAAAAAAAATGAGAGCTTAATAGCAGCTTAAATTCTCAGTTAGAACTGAGTATGAGGATATAGATACAAGCAAGGCAGAAAGACACCTAGACTAAATAACCCTTGACTAAGCAGAAATTTTGCTTGTCATAAAGCCATGAGTCCTCAGAAGCAATATCAACATCATTGGACACTTAAGCTGCTTATATATGCACAGAGCATATTCAGAAAATTGGTCATCTATGAGGTGAAATCTGTGGACAGTAAATAATGACAAATCTTTAACTTTTACAAAGAATAAATATATACTGGAAAATGATCAATCTCTAGAGTGGGATACTACACCAAATTATATATAGTGTCAATAGCTTAACACCATCAGTAAATTGGAAAGTAAAGAATCTCCTGTACTTAAAGACTTAACTTTGAAGAATGCATTTTAAATAAACACATTGTGATTTTTCAGATGTGTTTCCTGATCTTTGCATTGGATTTTAACCCATTCACGCCGGGTGTCACGTATATGTGACGGGCCCCACTGTGAGTTTACTTGTTTAATTGTTTTCACACATAGATGGCTGCACTTGTACTTGTACTGCCTGTTTTGCCTGTTAACCCTTTTCTTTAATTTACGAAAATATTATTCGTTATCTTATTTCACTGTTACTAATGTTCACATCATTATTGCTATTATAATGTTTATAATAAAAATAACCATCAATATTCATAGTACTAGTAAAAAATACATTTTCCTGCCAAATGAAATCAGGTAAGGCAGAGCCATCTAGTGTAGAGAAATTTCACAAAAAGTATAAAAAATGAGCAAAGCATTATCCCCCATTTTTTGTTCATTTTTACCCGGCGTGAATTGGTTAAGAATTTGCAATACATATTTAATGTTAAATCAAATAATCTTACTTTTGTAACATCTGTTTCCTGCCCTGGACAAGAAGTACAATTCATCTCTATCAAACCATAACTATAATATATTCTAATCTACCTTGGCTGGTATGTATTATGGGATGCACCCTGAGAACTTAACAATAAGAAGAATGAAATAATATGAATACTTAATCATCAAGATGGGTAAATGTTAGTAGTAACTAAACAGACAAAATACTAGCATCCACATGATCAATGAAATGTCTCTTCCTAAAGCTTTAAAATAGCACACTTTAGATATTTAATCTTGATCTTAAAATACAAAGCAAAGGCACCAGATTTCAGATTTAAACTTGCCTGTAAGGGATGGCCAATTTACCCTGGACGCTGCTGATGGCCAAGATGTGCCCAGCCTTCCTGGCCAACATGCTAGGAAGGATAGCTGTGGGATAGAGAGTTTCCTTACAATAAGAATAATGCATAATAATGTAGGGAAAATAAACATGTACATGCAATAATAAGGTAAGACACATCTTTAGGTACATGATCAGACATACACTTTTTTTTATCATCATCTATGGTTAAATATTTACTATGACACATATACAGTAATCCCTAATCCTCATCCTATCACACAACCTCTCCCTTCTCTTTTTCTTTCTTCTTCTTTCTTTTTCCCACGTTCTTTTAGCTTCTTTCTCTCCCTCTATATCCCTTTCCTTTTTCCTCTTCCTCTCTCTAACCCCAGCCATTTCCTTATCCTCCATCTCCCTCTCTCTTCCTCTCAACCTCTCCATCCCTTTCCTTCTTCCTCTTCCTCTCTCTAACTCTCCTTTTCCTCTCTCCCTCTCCTCCTCCCTCTATCTTCCCTCTTCTTCTCTTTCTCTTTCTGTTTTCTCTCTTTTCCTCTTACTTTACCTTTTTCTCCCTCCCTCTCTCCTTCTCACCCCCCTCTCATTCTCTTTTTCTCTCCCCTCTCACTTCCTCATTTCATCCCTCACTCCAAAACTCTCTCTTTCAACCATACCTTTGGTTAGAGCCACCTGTCCAAAATAGTTCACCACCATCAGTTTGATGTCGACGCTAACTTCCGTGTCCGCCACCGCCCCCCGGTAGGACATGCCCGCATTGTTAATTAGGATATCGATCTGGCCGTGGGTCTTAAGCAGCTCCTCGGTGATGGTGGGTATGCTGTTGAGGTCCTCCAGGTCGAGCTTGACCACCGTGGGGACATGGAGCTCCGGGGGCTGTATGGGAGGCAAAACAACATGAGGGTGAGACGGTTTTCAAGCACGCAGTTTTCGAGAAGTGGGAATGCTAAGGCAGACAGAGGGGAATGGGGAATTAATGAAAAAAAAAAATGTAAGGATGGAGAAGATGATAGTTTCTTTCTTTACTCTCTGTATCAGTTTTTGTCTTATCAATCAATAAAAAGAAGAAAAGGCAAAAATTTGATAACTTATCATTAAAAACATTTAGAAGGAAAATTTAAAGTAAAAAAAAAAATAATAATAATAAACAGCTAAAACATGACTTCTCCGGAACCTACAAAACTTTGGAATCAAATCACACCTAAAAAAAAATATATATATATATATAAGAAAAGAAGAAGAAGAAGAAGAAGAAGAAGAAGAAGAAGAAGAAGAAGAAGAAGTACCAATCAAATACCATTACCTTGTATGTTGCCAAGAGGGTCTCCTTCAGTTCATTCAATTTCTCTGTGTTTCGAGAAGCCAAAATGAGCCTGGCACCTCTCTTATAAAGTTCATGGGCAAGTGCCTCACCAAGACCAGAACTTGCCCCGGTCACCAATACCACCTGTGAGTAAACAGATATTTTTTTGACTCACTTACTTCTTTTTACTAGATTTACAAGGCTTTAATGTTGATTACTCTAAGTACAAACAGTAATGATCCTCTTCTAAATAAATAATAATAGTAGAAACTTTGCAAGACTAGTTAAATATACATCACAACAGAAGCAATTCCATCATTAACTCCAATCTTTTTTTCTTTTTTTTTTCAAAATAAGATCCTAAAGGCAGATAACAACAATACCAATAGCAGCCTAACAATCTCTGAAAAAAAAAACAATAGAAGCCTAACAATCCCTGAAAAAAAACAGGAAGGCACAGAGGAAAATGGACTATGATATATGAAATCGCAAGAAATAAAAAATTCTCTTCTCATTACCTTTCCACAGAGGGCTTTGTCACTGAAGAACGCACGTGCAAGAATTCCATAAAGCAGTCTGTAAGCCATCTTGACAGCCACAACTGGGCCCATGACTGTTAAGGTCGCCCAACCTGTCAAAAAAAAATAATAAAAATAATAAAATAAAAACAGGATTAA